AACCCTAATTTTCTCTGATTCTATGATAAATTTACTGCTACTATTATTTTTGTTTGATCACCAACCTTCCTATACCTCTGTATGACTGTGTATGTTTTACAGAGCTGTGAAAAAGACATGGGCTCTCATATGAAGTATTTGCAATCTAAATTGGCAAATATAGACTATGTAGATACCAAGTTAACTCAACTTGCTGGCTCAGCATGTAATTTTGACAGCTCAAGAGAAAACCTCTCAAAAATGGGAATTATACAGCAAATAATGTATGTACAAAAAAAAGGGTAAATTTGTTCTACATATATAAGCCGAAATATTGGCAAGATTGTGTCCACTTTGCTTTAGGAATGTTAAGTAGTCTACTACTACACATTTTTTTCCAATTAGGTCCTATAGCATGAACAAATTTTTAAACAAAATCTATTAAACAAAATACATTAATTAAAGGGACTCTCTCCTCTCCTCTCCTCTCCTCTCCTCCCTAATTTATATGCCCTAAATTCTTATTGCTGCACTAACTCCTGAACAAACAATTGAGCTTTCCAAAATGCTGGCTGGGATGCCTGCATACATACCAGCTTCTGTCATCCTTTCCAACTATTTCTTATTGGTCATCAGTATCACTTCTTATTTGCCTTGATTTGATCTCAGTCCACCAATGCTTTTCATGCTCAATTTCAGCAAAAACTGGGATAAGATTCCACAATCAAACAGAAGCAATAAAGAAAGGCATGAAAATCTGCGTGCAAGTCAGAGGCAAACTACAGTCACAATTTCGTGACACTCCCAAATGTCCTATAGCCATAGTATTTTTATTACATTTGCTGCATTGAAAATCTCCACAGGTACCAATACTTCTCCACTAGATTTTTCTAGCCACATAAGCCATAAACCTATACTCTATTTATTAAATATTATCCTCCCCTGCAGAATCAAAATATCAGCAAATAAAATCCGTTGAAATGAATTAAACACACCTCTGACTACATGCCCATGTGCAACATTTTCATTTTTTCCTTGATGGCAGGACAAAGTACCTACTTCCAAAAAGTGAATTGTTATAGGACCTTCACTCAAGACCACTGAATACCATTTAAATGTATAGTTCTGGCAATTATTTCTTTATTCATCATATATTTCATGTAAGGTCACTGAGAAATTTGTGGAAAGGTACTTCACATAAGGAGGAACATGCACATAAAATATGTTCTGATCCAGTTCCAGATGACTTTTCTAATCAAAATTCTCTATGTACTAAAAACCTCTCTAGTTTTGTTCACTTAGGTGTGTGGTGTGTTAGGTGACTTCTTGCCTTATAGACTCTAACATGGCTGAAAAGATATTGAAAGGTGCTAAATCTATTAATGGACATGTTCAATATCTCTTTACTGAGAGCAAGATGGCAGCTTACTGACAACATCAGTCTATCCACCCATTTATAATCTCATTTTTCAGGATAAGAGTAATGAGAAGCCTAGTTTGGTATATGCACACACATTTGCCAAGTAAACAATGGTTTTGCCATAAATTAGCCTTTTCCAGTACAAGCAAGTGCAACAGACAAATACCATGTTGCTCTGGTAAATATAGCACTTTGAGAGATTATAATGAGACTGTTCCTTGGAAATGATGCTTAACGCTTAAGAAAAAATATATTTGATTAAATAATGGGTCTAATATTTTAACTGAATTAACTTGTTATTGCTCAATAAATACATGCATGTTGCCTGCATTTTTTTTATTATGGATAATATCAGTTGTAAAATAGGGATACTACTGCCTTTCTTTCTAATTAAGTGTGCGTTATTTAGATTGTATCCTCTGTATATTTAGATGGTACCCTTTGTATTTTTTAGGAAAATGGTAAGCCATATAAGTACATATAATTTATAAGCCATATAATTTATTTTTAAGACAGCTGTATAAACAATTAGACATGAAAGAAATATTTTATTTTTACATCACTTAATACTGCCAGCAATTAAGTTTTGGGTAATTTCTACTCTGTATGTGAATTTCCCTTGTAAGAAACATAGATTTAACTTTTGCTGGATGAAGCTTCTATGCCCCTTAGTTCAATGCAATTTGTCCAAATAATTCATTTGTAATTTATCTTACTATCAAGTACTTCATTACTGCACCTGAAATATCTGATGGACTCTTTTCTTGAAATATTTCACTAACAGCTTGCATGAGGAATACACGTATGCTCCTAATTCTGTAGTCCATTATTAAAAAAGCCTTGGTTTAATAACCAGAGGTGAATGAAAATATGTATAGCCAACCAAGAGTTTTGCTAAGATGATTAATAAATTATTAGAAATATAAAGAAATAAAGCCACAAAAGGGGTACAGTAACATTCTGAACTGAACTTCACAAGAAAATCAAAACAAAAGCAAGCTTGTGATGCATCAGAGATATAAATCAGTTCACTTTCAGAAATAAGGTGTTTTTATATCTGTTAAGGTCCCACTATATCAGGGGTGGGCAAAATGTAGCTTGCGGGCTGGATCCGACCTGCACAGTGTCTTTGTCTGGCCCATGGCAGGTTCCTCAGTCCTGCCTCGCCCAGGCACCATCCAGCCTTGGCATGTACTGCCACACACACACGCGCGCGCGCACCTTTAGAGGGAGCTCCACTCACTGCTACGTGCTCACACCTCACCACACACACGCGTCCACCCACACTCCTCCCATACCAACTCCCCACACACACACCCCAGCCACCTTCTTCCTCCATATACCCCACATCCCCCCACAAGCCCCATACTCACCACACATATTGCCACAAACACCCCCCCACAAACTCCCCATACCCACCCACCACATCCACACATACCTCCACACCTCACAAACATACACATCCACACAAACACACCCAAATTCCTCCACAACCCCCCCCCCCCCCGCCTATACCCTCTGCAATATACAGGAGAAAGATTTCATTTTGAGCTATTATGCAATCACTTCTATATACGCAATGCAAACACACACAAATCAGGACCAAAATATTTTTTTAAATGACATTAAAATATGTTATTGTCATTGTTTGATTTTTAGTATACAATTTGTTTTCTTCCAGGTCCAAGATGGCAACCCTCCTTCCCAAATGAAGTACTTCTGGGGGCAAGAGGAGGGACTTCCACTGGCAAATGTCAGGGGTTAGGGAGCAGGACTTCTGGTCCCAAGATGGCAACTGGGAGCAGGGCACTTGTCAGGGGGTGGAGCTATCCTCGCGGCCCTGAACAGCTCACATCTCATCAAATGGCCCTCAAGCCGAAATAATTGTCTGCCCCTGCACTATATACACTTGATACTGCTGTAATGCATTTTATCAGCAATACCTCTGCTTTCATGTAATCTCCTTATTAGTGATATTGTTCAAAAACTTCACATCAGAACCACACATCCAGTATTTCCCCCTTATGCATCCAGAATTCTATATTGTCATTTGTAAAACTGTTAGAAAGCAAATCCATCTAGAAATATGCATATCTGATGTTCATACAGTGCTGCTTCCCCCTTCAATGCTCTGAGGGTTTGTACAGTCCTACTTCTGAACTGCCCATTCTACCACCAGAATTTATTCCATTGTTCAGAGATGCTGAAAAGATAGCAGGACATGAGTCACAGCATATCTGCAACCCATATATATATAATAATAAAACTTGGAAAAGGCATGTGACAGAAAGCCATTTTGATTTCATGAGGTGATTAAAGATCAGGAAGAGGAAATGAATTAGATTGCGTTCAAGTTGCATTAAGAGCTGAAAAACGGTATGGGATAGAGGGAAGGGAAAATAAGAGATGGAACAAATAGGAGAAAAAATATATAGTTATCTATGGTTTTCTTAAGCTATCTGAAGAGGATGTAATAATACAGAAGGTGCTGTGCTTACTGATGGGTATGTCTGGACCCTACTTCGAAAAATTGTGCACATTTTTCCCAGAGATAATTTTGTGAATATTAGTAATTATATGTTATACTCTCTACTGCAATTTATTGGTGTATAAAATATTATGGTGGACTTAAATTGAGGTCTACAGGAAATGTAATGAATTGCTAAGTAAAAAAAAATGTTAAAGTAGATTTCTACACTGGGAAAATAATTGAAAAGGTAACAAACCTGACTGGAGAAAGCATGTTCACTCAACCAATTCCTAGGTGTACACGTAGCTTTTGAAATGATAGGGGATGCTGCCATTAACACCAATTGAAGAGAACTCTGTATGTAAAATATTCCCTGCAGTACCATTATTACTTATGCAATGCTGTATTTTTATTATTTATGTGCATTACAGTAGAACCTTAGTGCCTCAGTCAGGGTTCAGGGAACTATAGAGATAAAATAAGAAAAACTCGATATATGGTGTGCATGTAGAATAACAAGCTTACATGGAACTTTTGCAGTGTATACTTAGGCCCAGAATTTGTTAGGCATCTGAGTGAACTTAAGTGTGATTCTATTCTGTCTTCCCTGAAAATCCATTAATGCATCTACTTCTGTAACCTGGGGGAGAAGAAGAACTCTAACCTGGGGAAGAAAGAAGATATAGTTGAACCAAGCCAGGTTACCTAACTTCCATTAAGAAATGGGTTAAGAGAAGCATTGTTTTCTGATTATAGAGGTGCTAGAGGCAGCAGCAGCATGGTCAGCTACCAGAGGTGCCAGAGGTTGCTGCAGTATGGTTACCTTGTGCTGCTGCTACAGGTTCAAAGTGTCATGTATAAACCAATACTAACCAAAACATATATGTCTTTTTATTGTTCAAGTATGAGTCACCGAACTTTGTGATTTTCAAATCTGCTTCATGGATTGGGCCAGCCAAAAGCTACTCTTAGAATGTACAAAACATTTCTTCCCATCTTTTCAGGCCCCAGGGAAACAAATAAAATAAAAAATATTCTGTTCCGTGCCTCTCAACATTTTCCTAGACCCCTTTCTGCTACCTAGTCTATTAGCATGATATCTACTAATTTTACTAATGATTGAGTGATTACCTCTTGAAGAACCCTCTTCATTTTCAGCAGTAATGTCTTGACAGCTGTGCAGTCCTGCATCATTAGTCTAAAAGGCAATGATTCCATGCCTCCACCTTCTTCCAGACCTGCAAAAGGCCACTCCACTGATGGACTGCTGGCTGCCTGGGTAATAAGAGGGCACTTAGCTTCTCCTAGTTCCATGTCCTTTGACAACTTCAAAGACAGATTCCTAATAAGAGAAAATGCAGACAAAAATAAAAACAATTTGGATAAAATATTTATTTTAGGCTCTTCCTCATTTTAAAGTATTCAGAGTGAATTTTCACAAGCAGTTTATCTCCTCTTCATGCACTCTGTGTATAGGATCATAGGAAAACAGAGCTGGAAGGGACTCAATGAGGTCATCTAGTTCAGCCCCCCCTGGGGCAAGGCAGGAACATCTCTGACTAAACCATCCCAGCCAAGTGCCTGTCTAACCTGCTCTTGAAAATGTCCATGGTTGGAAATTCTTATAATTCATACAAGGAAAATGTTATTACTGAACAAACTGGGAACTGCTATTAGTTTACCTAAAATCCTATCTAATAACCACAACAGGTTTTTAGGACAGCGTATCAGGCCAAGACACCGCTACCACTTAGACATCCTCTACACATTACATTTATGCCAGGATTAACATGTTAATCATGCCATAAATGGAAAGAGTACTATATATACATTCAATTTAAGGCGCCTTAAAATGGAAAACCAGCCATAAATAAGTTCCACGTACATTTCCGAAACATTTTTATGGTTGGTTTGTATGATGCCTTAAATTTAACATGCAGCAGTGCTCTGGTGTCAGCACCAGGATCATGAGGCCATTTTGAGACCCCACTATGGTTCTAGGACCAGAGCTGACAATCAGTTGTCAGCCTCAGCCCCAAACCACACTAGAACCAACTGGAGATCCTGGTGTGGTCAAAGGGCTGGAGCCAGCAACCAGCAGATTGCTGTCCATAGATAGGCAGGCATCTATTTTTCAACTTTTTGGTGCAGAGGGATACCTGGATCATGATCCTGGGCTCTCCCTTTATTAGCAAGTAGGAAAAGGACAATTAGGATCTGATTCCTGATTCTATGCATGTGTGGCATGGCAGAAGGCATGATTGTTGGGATTGGAGATCAGATCCCATGGCACCTTTAAATGAATACATGTCAGAGGCCTCAGAGAAAAAACCATTCTGCATTTTAAGCAACATATTCTGAGCCAAAAATCTGCAAGTTGAGCAGTGATTTCAAAACAGGTTACATGACATCCTGGTTGCCCAGTAAGCTAAATAAAAGCATCATACAGCTATCTTCAAGGGATCTCTCTCTAGATATATATCTATATCTATATATTTAGTTTAATGTTACACCTTTTTGCTCTGGGACTACCAAGAAAAGAAAGAGAATGCTAGATGAAGGATAAACTCCAGAAAGTAGTAGCACTTTGTAATAATGGTATATTAATTAATTGCTAAATTACAAGAGGCTTTCAGTGGAATTACATCATATCTTTATTATTATTAAATGAAATCACCATAATTAAATAAGTAGCATAAGCAGCAATGAAAATGATGATTATTATCCATTTAACGTACAGTTCAAATGTTCTGCTGTCTTTGAAATTATATGCAACATAAAACGTACTTGGTGTTTGGATTCTGAATCTTAAACATTAATAATTTATGATAAAGATAAGCCTTCCCAAATGCAAAAGATTTAAGTTAACTTTGGTTTCCTAAAAACATACATCCAAAAAGAAATTAATGCATTTTTTCAAAATAAATCATTTCTGTCTCCACTCTAAAAATGGCATATACTGTTACTAGAATAATCTTTTGTAGATGGCCCCTTTAAAAACTAACAAACCATAAGTGTACAACCTGCACATGGGGCAATATGCTTAGCTGAGAAATACATCAAAGAGTTCACTGCTATACCAGTGCATAGACAAACGTTCATAATGGACAATGGAAATAACATTTTTGTAAGCCAGGCTTTTTCAGAATCTCTTTTGGGAATCAAATTATTCTGCTTTTCATTATTCAAATATATTGAAACAACAGTGTGAGCGGAACATTTTGTGTGCTTCAAAGTGATAAACTGGAGAGGACGGTAAAGGTGTTTAAGAGCCAAGAATATTAAGTAGCTGTTGATTAACAGCCTTTATTAAAGCAGCCTAAGGTATAAATCATGCAAAAAGAAAGAATGAAAGAACAAACGAAAGAGCGAACGAAAGAGTGAATGAAAGAATCTTAACTGCAATTTGTTTTTTCTCTCTCTTTTAGGTATTTACAAAAGAAGGCATGTTCACACTATGGGAATTTATATCTGAATGAGTACAATGAAAATGAGGAGAATATTGTTTGACTCTAGTAAGTTACTATACCTCCAGAGGATAAAGTCATAATGTATGAAGGACACCCTGGCAGTAAGAATGAATAACACTCAAAGGGAGTTTTTACAAATAGGTCTGCAGTGTTGAGAGAGATTTGTTTCTCTTGCAGTACCATTACTTTAAAAGCAACCATAGCACTCTCCCTTACTTGTGGGAATGGGAAACTTACGTTATTCTGAACAAGGAGATCACTTACAGGGAGTGCCAATGCAACACTTACATATGAATTGGAAATGTGTTGGTAATTAAAGTAAATTTGGGTCTGAACCAAAGCCTGTTCAAGTTAATGGAACTCTTTTCACTCACTTCAGTGGGCTTTAGATCAAGCCCACAATGTTGAAAGCATACTAAATAAATGTAGTTTCAAATATGGAATATTGTGCTGAAGTAGAACAAGAAGAATGAAGTAACACTTAATTTTTAATTAAGTAGGGCTTAAAAAATCACAGCCATCTCATTTATCCATGTAATGGTTACCATTAAAAAGTCAATATTGCCATATGCAGGTAACACAGTATTTCTAATATTGCTTGAATGGGAAATAATTGTTTTATATTAGAAAAATTCTGCAGTATATAATTGCTAACAAATGCTTGTACAACCAGCTTTGTTTGCTACAAGAAAATACTTTCCAAAACTTATTTTTCATCAAGTACATAATCACTTCCCAATTAGTCTATTAGAGAATTATGTAATCTATTTTAATTTATCAGAGAACAGCAGTAAAAATTCAGCAGACAAAAGTACTTACTAGGATTAGCAGTTTTTCCCATGTAATTAGAGCTGGCAAGTTAGTAGGTATGCTGCTTGCCAACTGCAGGCACTGGCTAGGTACAATTTTCTACCACAAAATGCACTCTCATTCAACTCAAATTAATTCATGGGAATGTGTCCACTAACAAAATATTTGAAGTTTGATTAAAATTTTGAAAATGATTCATTTCAACCCTATCATCTGGTTACAGTCAAAATATTTTATTTCAATTATACCATAATTATAATACAATATTTACATTATATTTCATTATATTGTGTTTTAATGTTATCAGACTAAAACATTTCAAGAAATTAATTGTAATGTTACCAAATTGAAATATTTGGATGCTTCTGTCTGAAGAATATTTTGCTAACTTTGATTTGTCATCCCAATTCAGGATACAATGTCTGAAATGTCAATTTCCTGCATTATGAAAGTGCCATTTTCCAAACGGCTAAAGAATTATAGGCTCTGAATATTCAAAAACTGGATGAAAATCATATGAAAATCACTGACCTGATTTAAAAACAAACAAACAATGGTCTTAGCCCTAATTTATTTTAAAGAACAATACAGTGGGAAATTGATTTTAAAATGGTTTATCCAGTTGTTCTGCAAACAAAAAGCAAAGATAGAACAATCTGCAGCAGTCATTTTAAACCTAGCTTCTATCTGTATCTTAACTCCTACATTTTTGGGGGGTTTTGACAACTTTTTGATTTCAGTAATACTTGGCACTTTTGAAAAGTAGATGCTTGTCTGCATCTATAGGCACATAACCCATTTAATAATCTTCCCTGAAGGCTGTGCCAGATGCACACATTTCTAAGAGGTCTGAACCATTTCCTGAGAATTCCCTATTGCCCTCTGTATGAAATTTCAAACCCACAACTGACCCTGAGAACAAACCAGCTCTTAATTCCAATTTTATGATATGTGAAGCAAAAAATATTTCCACAAAGAGACTTCTTAACATTTGATTTTGTATCATTCTGAACAGTTCCCACAACGTTAGAAGAAGCCACTGCAAATCACAGAAATCTAGAATGAAAACCTGTCCCACATATTTTTCAATGTTTTGCCTTTGATTTCAATGCAACAAAGATCTGACGCATAGTAATGTGTTCTCAGCCGACCACCCCACATATGAAAAGAACCCCCACAAGCTACGGTAGGTGAAACTTCAAAGGGTAGCTCAGTATATGGCATTCTCTAGTCATGAGGTTATAAAGGTTTGGACCATTGTGTCAAGGGCTGTGTCCTAGGAAATGACCACAGACTTCAGGTTAACTTTACATGGAAAAAGCAGTAGAGGAATGTCTACACTGCTATTTAGGCTAGGGACAGAAGTTGCACATAAACTGGTTTAAGTGATCGGAAACTGGTTTAAACTTATAACAGAACATAAGTTCAGTGCACATAAACCAGTTTCAAAAAGGCTGAAACTGGTTCAAGATAAACCTAGTTGAATGTAGTATCAGACTTAACTGATTTGGGTCAAACTAGTTTATGAAACTCCTGTCCCAGACCCCTTCCTGGTTTAAGTTAAATCACAGTCCCCCAGCATCCCAGCATGCTTTCCAGCTCTGGGCTGGCCTAGGCTGTCTGCTCCAGCAGAGAACAGTTGGGAGGGGAGGCAAGGACTGCCCCTCCCAGACAAACCGCTGCTGGGATCTGGGGCCAGGGAGGGGGGTTAAATCTACCTTCCCCTGGTTAAACCTCCCCCCTTCCCCCGAGTACAGAGTTGCCCTGCCCTGCTAAATTTACTGAAAGTTACTGCTGACAGCAGCTGTGGACTACAAATCCCAGAGGCACCTGGAAGCAACAACAGGAAGTAATGAGCAAATGAGCAGAGTCCTGCTTCTGTGATCCTGGACTGCAAATCTCAGAGAACTGGGGGGGCAGCAGGAAGAGGAAGTGAACACACAGCCCATGATAGCTATGTGCCAGAGAGCCGTGCTCTAGTGCACCCCAGCTTCTGGCCTTAGCCACTGCAGGCATGTGTCTGTATTTCCTGAACCAAAGGTAAATGTGGCTATGTACAGAC